AAATCCATGAATATTTAATATTATTATTATGACAATGGTGAGAAAATGTATTGATGAAAACATATTAACATTCCTATTAAGTGTATTTATAAGTTAAGGAATCACAGTATATTAATTAGTTTGATTTCAGATTTAGTAGTAAATCTAGTAAACATATCTATCTAAATATATCTATGTCATATCTATGTCACATCACCAGTACATTATTCATCATGTTGATGTTTGGTGTTTTTTTTAAAAAAAAATAATATAACTTTGTAAATGAAACAGGAAAGGGGGAAATGCTTTCAGACTTGCAAGACTGATTTCACAGTCTGGATTGCCTAACCGAGCCGAGGTGGCGCAGTGGTTAGGGTGCAGTACTGCAGGCCACTTCAGCTGACTGTTATCTGCAGTTCAGCGGTTCTAATCTCACCGGCTCAAGGTTGACTCAGCCTTCCATCTTCCGAGGTAGGTGAAATGAGGACCCCGACTGTGGGGATGATATGCTGACTCTGAAAACCGCTTAGAGAGGGCTGAAAGCCCTATGAAGCGGTATATAAGTCTAACTGCTATTGCTATTGCTAACTAAAAGTGCTTTTCCTCTCAGCTGTTTTTAGATTCAAAGAACTAGAGAGACTCATTTCTGATATGGTTATAACATTTCCTGAATGAGATGGTTATAGCATTCTTTTAATTTTTTATTAAAGTTCATTATATGATAAAACACGAATAGAAACAAAAAATCAAGAAACATAAAGAAAAGAAACGAAGGCACAGAAAGAAAAATAGAACCCATTGATTTTTGACTTTTTAAATTGGAGTAGGATGTACAAAAAAGCTACAATCTCAACCCTTTGTTTACATTTCCAGTTAACAGATTAACAGAGTTGGAAGGGATCTTATAGGTCATCTAGTCCAACCCCCTGCTCAAGCAGGAGACCCTACATCATTTCTGACAAATGGCAGTCCAATCACTTTTTGAAAGTCTCAAGTGATGAGTTAAGCAGCTCTGCTTTCTCTCTGTTGCCTGTTACTTCCTTGCCGTTAATTCAAACCATTTCTATAAAAACAAAGTCGATCAAATCATCAAAACCTAACATCTAAGTCTCATTTTTTCCGCATTTTAAGTGTAAATCCAGATGCTATCTTGGTCACAAATTAATGCATTTCTGTCTTTAGCTTGGCAATTATACTACTTCTAAACATCAGGTTTTTATGAACAAGATTAGTTATCTATTAATGTTTACATCAATGTTTACAACAAACGCCATGGATTTAGAACTGATTTTTCAAAAATAGTAAATACTTCATTTTGGAAAATCATGTCCTCACCTTTTTTCCCCCTACATTTAGCTGATATATGGATCTTCTCCTATGATAGATGACAAGATACAAGCTGCTTTCTTCCATCGTTTTTTCCCAGATGGTGACCAACAGATTCTGGGTATTCTCCACTTGCTGTTGCATTTTAGTTGGACATGGATTGGGCTGATTCTCCAACGTAATGAGAGTGGAGACAGATTCATTCAAAATGCTGTTCCGGTGTTTTCCCAAAAAGGTATCTGCTTTGAGTTCACGGGAGAGATGGCCAAGGAAACATTTTCTAATGATATTACAGCAGCCTTTAAAGATTTTAGTAAAATGTACATTCTTATCATGAACAGCACTACCAATGTCATCATCCTATATTGTGAAAACCAGGTCACCGTCATTGTTAGAATGTTGCCCTATTTTACAGAATTTGAAGAGATACCCATCGAGAGAAAAGATAAAATTTGGATAATGCCAGCCCAGATGGAGTTTACATCCCTTCCCTTTCAAAAAACTAGGGGTATGGAGTTTTTCCATGGTGTTTTAACTTTTGAGGTTTCTTCCAAGGAGATTTCTGGATTTAATAAATTCCTTCAGATGGGAAACCCAACTTCAGAAGTGGAAGACCATTTAATGAGAGTGTTCTGGGAACAGGCTTTTGAATGCTCTTTTCCTAAAGATAAGTTAGATGAAGACGCTGGAATGCTGTGCACTGGAGAAGAGAAGTTGGACAAGCTACCTAAATCTGTGTTTGACCCCACCATGACTGGACAGAGTTACAGCATCTACAACACAGTTTATGCTGTGGCACATGCTTTACAAGCCATGTTTCACCCCAAACACAGAACAAGAGCAAAAGTTGGGAGAGAAATGTTTTTAACTCAAACAGCATGGCAGGTAATAAGAAATTGAATGAATATTTCCCATTACTCTTCTCTCTAATGCAGTGCTTTATCTGGTTCACCAACAAATGCACGCTCGACAAAACCGTGCTGACAAAACCGCAGGGAGAAAAGTGCGAGTTCAAAATCGCGCCGACGAATGAGCACAGAAGGGCACCGACAACAGCGCGCCNAAGGGGCTGCCACAAAGAAGAGGGGGTCAGCCTATTCTCCAAAGCACCTGAAGGTAAGACAAGAAGCAATGGATGGAAACTAATCAAGGAGAGAACCAACCTAGAACTAAGGTGAAATTTTGAGAAAGGGTTTCCTGCTTAAGCAGAGGGTTGGACTAGAAGACCCCCAAAGTCCCTTTCAACTCTGTTATTCTGTTTGCTCTCAAGTAAGGTTCAAAACACATTTTCTTTCTTTACCCATAAAAATATCCAAGGTGACGATTGAAGAGCTAAAGATACAAGACTTAAAAGTAGGTTTGAAAGTTATAGGTAGATCACAATGTTATTATTAGTGTTAATTCAAGCAATCCATCAGTTTCCTAGTAAATAATTTTTAGGAATCATAGCAGCTTGCTTAAAAAAATTAATGTTTTGTCTGGGACCATTTTCTCTTTCATTGAAAAATCTCAGAAATCTCTGTCTGTCTCCCTATATGTATGTCTGTCTGTCTTTCTCTGTCTCTCTACCTATCATTCAATCCATCTGTGGGAATGATAAAATTTTTAAAGTGCTAATGAATTTACATGATTTCTTCTTGCATGGTACTATGTAATCTGTTTTTTTTTCTGTATAGAATTTAGCAGAATTGTAAATGAAATACATGTAATGCCACATTCTTTATGTGAAATATGATTTGTAATGTATTTGTGCAGATTTTTTCTACAGAACTACCAACATATCCTGGCCTTAGTTTTTGCTGTAAAGGAGATCAATGAAAACCATCACATTTTACCCAACGTGACTCTGGGTATGCACCTCTCTAACAGTTATTTCATGGCGAGATGGACTTACTTGGCTTCAATGGAGCTTCTCTCAACACGGGGCAGATTTATCCCCAATTATAAATGTGATGCCAAGGATAGGGCAATATCTGTTATTGCGGGACCTAACTCTCACATCTGTCCCTTCATGGCAAACATTTTGAATGTCTACAAGATGCCCCAGGTAAGATTTGCTCTTGAAATGCATACTGTGGGCTGTGACAAAAAATTTGACAGATAGGAGGAAGCACTGTAGCCTAGACAATGATCTGGTTAAAAAAAAATCTGAGTACAAACCAATTTGAGAAAACATCTCAGAATTGACTCAAGGTAGGAAGGAAGGAAGGAAGGAAGAAAGGAAGGAAGGAAGGAAGGAAGGAAGGAAGGAAGGAAGGATCATTCTGTAATATAAAGACCAAGATAAATATTTCCCAATACTAATACATTGAATTGTTTAATCAAATCCATGAATATTTAATATTATTATTATGACAATGGTGAGAAAATGTATTGATGAAAACATATTAACATTCCTATTAAGTGTATTTATAAGTTAAGGAATCACAGTATATTAATTAGTTTGATTTCAGATTTAGTAGTAAATCTAGTAAACATATCTATCTAAATATA